GGAGAGGAACAGATAGCCAAGGACGCACCAGGACGCCCGGCCAGCCCCTCGCCACAGAGAAGCCACACCCATGACCAGCCCACCACACCGCCAACGACCAAGTGCACCCCCCCAGCCGTCCACCCCCCGGTGGATCAGATTAATCCTAATAAATCTAATGGTTCTGATCCATGAGATCATAACCATTCATCTGATGTATCAAACAACAACAAAAAACTGTTACTAAAGTTCTGCTGTGTCAACTAAAAGTTGAGCAGATTTTTAAGGTGGAGTGTGAGTTTTAAGGTGGACTGGGATACCTTTGGCTCCCTGGTGTAACAGGGCAGAAATGCTGAAGATGAAATTCCTGCAGATGTCAGTCATTGGTGACTTGACAACACTGTAGCTGCTCTCCAAACACCGGTAGCGCTGAAATGTTTCCCAAGCGCCGTTCCCACTGGACTCCCCTTCCACTGAAGCGGTGAACATTTCCAGGCTCCTGCAGTGAGGCATCAACACGATCTGCAGACATGAAACAGCCAGGGGATGCTAAAGGTGCAAGACTAACAGTGGCTGCTCTCAGCTTGTTGATGCCATTTAAAGTAAAGTCCCACTTCYCATCACCAGTGCCAAACTCAGAATCTGAAAGTTTAAAGTGTTTGTGTTGTCAGGTTTTTGTCATTTGCATAGATGTTTTTTAATATTCTTGTCAGAAATCATCATATACAAGCTCTTATAGCAAGTCCCTTAGTTCTTTATGTATTGTCCGTACACTAATTTTGTTAATTTCTAATATTAATAAAATTTGATCATTGCTTTGGTTGAGTGCTATCRTGGTTGCAAGGCGACATGCTGGGGTAAGGGCAGGAATAAAGCTGATGGCTAGAACTGTCCAAATTTACAGCCACTTTCTTTTGCACTACGCCAGGGCTATTCAACTAAATTGCTCCGAGGGCCACAGGTACTGTAGCCAACATCTCAGGGGCCGAACATCCAGCCATTAAAGTCATTATGTAAATAAACCAAGATCAAAGATCTGTTACCTTTGAAATAGTTAACTTTGCTCTATTTAATCATGAATACAACATAAAGAACCCTATAAAAGTAGTGATAATCAAACAGTATCAAAC